GGATAAAAATCTAATAAATTGAATTTATTAAACAAAGAATCACAATTAATAAACTACCACTCGAAAATATTTATTCGCTGTCCGGAGCAAGTTGACAAGTAAAATAAAAAATTTATTTTACAATAGTGAATTTTAATATAATTTGGTTAAAGTATTAATAAATTAAATTATAAAACTCATAGTGGTAGTTAAAATAAAATAATTAAAGAGATAAAAAATGAATAAAAATTGAGTTTCTACCCTTTTTATATTTTTAGTCGCCTGTGGCGTACCCGTACTGACTTTGCAGATAACAGGAAGAAATAAGCACTTAAATGTTTTAATGAACTTGTTCCTAGATTATGCAAAGAAGACGAAGAATATTTTAACACTAAAAACTAATAATTTAATGAAAAGGAATTGTCAAATAAAACATGCATAAATGATTTGGAATCTTCATTTTTAAAATTCTCCTAAATGAAGGCTTTTCTTGATTTTACAAATAAATGATTAAAGAAAGTGATATCATGTGACTTTTTTTGAAATTTTATTTCTCAGAAACTATTCGATCGATTTCGCTAAACTTTTGGATTTTGACATATAAAATTGAATACCTTAAAATGATGTAAACAATTGTATACCTTACAATTTAAAAAATTTTCGACGATTATTAAATAAAATAATAAATATTTACTAAAATTTATTTTTTTAATGGAATTATCTTCGGACAAACGAATTTTATAATTGTATGCAAAAATGTTTTATTTTGTTAAAGCAGTTCTCGAAATATGGCGAAATGCGTAAAAAGTAAATTTAATTTTAAGTGGTCCAAACTATGCATCGCTATCCTGTTTAAACTATGGCAACCATGTTTTCCAGGTTGCGGCTACCCACTACATTTTGAGGGTCAGAAGTCCGAAAATTCATCGACTGTTTATTCAGAGAAAGTACGTTTTTTGCCTGATTTCATACCTTCAAAATATCGTCTGCACTAATTAATTAGGATATTTGTGATCACCCCCTCGAACCATTAAGATAGTGTCCTAGAACGTGAAGTTCCGATCATTAAATCAAAAGTTATTCAAAATGGTCCATTTTATTTTAAAGTGCATTTATGTCGTGTCTCTTAAATCCAAAATATTATCAAAGGGTAACTACCCTGCCACTTTCATTTTAAAAGAATCTTACTAATTACTAGATATGGAAAAATGATATGCTAATTTGGCCGAAGAGAATGTATTACATACCTGCCAACTTCTACGCATTTGGCGTAAAATTTTATTTCTTTATTTAAAGTGGTAGTAAAATGTATGCTTTCTATATATTCCTTCCGTTTATAAACTTAATTTATAATCTTTTTAACCACCACTATTTTTAAAAAAATTAAGTATATATATAATTTTAAATAGTATNGTGATCAGAGAAACAGGGTGCATAGCCAGATTTTTCAACAAAAAATAAGCACCTTTTAAGCACTCAAAAATATTTTTAATCACTTTAAAAAAATAAATTATAATCAGGATATGTGCAGTAATAAGAATGATTTCCTCCTACTGTTTAAAGTTCTTCATTTATGTACATAAAATCAAAAAAATGCAAAAACATTTTCAAAGACTTTACAAAATCATGATAAAACGTATGGGAAATTTTCGGTGATCAGAGAAACAGGGTGCATAGCCAGATTTTTCAACAAAAAATAAGCACCTTTTAAGCACTCAAAAATATTTTTAATCACTTTAAAAAAATAAATTATAATCAGGATATGTGCAGTAATAAGAATGATTTCCTCCTACTGTTTAAAGTTCTTCATTTATGTACATAAAATCAAAAAAATGCAAAAACATTTTCAAAGACTTTACAAAATCATGATAAAACGTATGGGAAATTTTCGGTGATCAGAGAAACAGGGTGCATAGCCAGATTTTTCAACAAAAAATAAGCACCTTTTAAGCACTCAAAAATATTTTTAATCACTTTAAAAAAATAAATTATAATCAGGATATGTGCAGTAATAAGAATGATTTCCTCCTACTGTTTAAAGTTCTTCATTTATGTACATAAAATCAAAAAAATGCAAAAACATTTTCAAAGACTTTACAAAATCATGATAAAACGTATGGGAAATTTTCGGTGATCAGAGAAACAGGGTGCATAGCCAGATTTTTCAACAAAAAATAAGCACCTTTTAAGCACTCAAAAATATTTTTAATCACTTTAAAAAAATAAATTATAATCAGGATATGTGCAGTAATAAGAATGATTTCCTCCTACTGTTTAAAGTTCTTCATTTATGTACATAAAATCAAAAAAATGCAAAAACATTTTCAAAGACTTTACAAAATCATGATAAAACGTATGGGAAATTTTCGGTGATCAGAGAAACAGGGTGCATAGCCAGATTTTTCAACAAAAAATAAGCACCTTTTAAGCACTCAAAAATATTTTTAATCACTTTAAAAAAATAAATTATAATCAGGATATGTGCAGTAATAAGAATGATTTCCTCCTACTGTTTAAAGTTCTTCATTTATGTACATAAAATCAAAAAAATGCAAAAACATTTTCAAAGACTTTACAAAATCATGATAAAACGTATGGGAAATTTTCGGTGATCAGAGAAACAGGGTGCATAGCCAGATTTTTCAACAAAAAATAAGCACCTTTTAAGCACTCAAAAATATTTTTAATCACTTTAAAAAAATAAATTATAATCAGGATATGTGCAGTAATAAGAATGATTTCCTCCTACTGTTTAAAGTTCTTCATTTATGTACATAAAATCAAAAAAATGCAAAAACATTTTCAAAGACTTTACAAAATCATGATAAAACGTATGGGAAATTTTCGGTGATCAGAGAAACAGGGTGCATAGCCAGATTTTTCAACAAAAAATAAGCACCTTTTAAGCACTCAAAAATATTTTTAATCACTTTAAAAAAAAAAAAATTATAATCAGGATATGTGCAGTAATAAGAATGATTTCCTCCTACTGTTTAAAGTTCTTCATTTATGTACATAAAATCAAAAAAATGCAAAAACATTTTCAAAGACTTTACAAAATCATGATAAAACGTATGGGAAATTTTCGGTGATCAGAGAAACAGGGTGCATAGCCAGATTTTTCAACAAAAAATAAGCACCTTTTAAGCACTCAAAAATATTTTTAATCACTTTAAAAAAAAAAAAATTATAATCAGGATATGTGCAGTAATAAGAATGATTTCCTCCTACTGTTTAAAGTTCTTCATTTATGTACATAAAATCAAAAAAATGCAAAAACATTTTCAAAGACTTTACAAAATCATGATAAAACGAGTAGTTTCTGATAAATATTGCAGAAAAAATTGTGAAAAACATGCTTTTTTTTGTAATTCATGACGGCAAACAGGGCAAAGAAAAAAAATCTCATTTTGAAAGATATAAAATAAATCAATTTTGACAAACCTTAATTGAAAAAAGCACTGTTAAGGTCTTTCAAAAAACATAAATCAGAAATTAGCACCTTTAAGAAACGCTACACACCCTGGAGAAGTTTAAGTTTATAACAAAAGTTACGTATCCAACACATTTTCTTCTTTTTCGTCTACTTGAAAGACAAATTCAAAAGGAATATAACGGTGAGACGGGTTCAGCCAGAAAACTACGGTAAAAAGGTTTTGGGATCAGACAAATCTTAGATTCATGATAAAATTTTCATAAATTTTTTACTACTTTTAAACGAACGTTTGTTTCAGTTATTGAGTTAATAAGGCATAAAAATTCCCAGCGATCTGCTATACCAGTTCAGTGCTTTTGCTTTGTGAAGCTACTGTTAATTGTCATTGTGTTGATTGTTTTCTTTTTTAAGTTTTCGTTTAGTCGTCTAGAATTTCAGATGATTCAGTTTGTGTCTTGGTTTTTTCACAGGTTAGCGAAAAGAAAAGGTTTTAATTCACTAATTCCCTTTACAGATAAAATGGCCACGAGACCACATAATTTGGCCTTTACCCCACTTATGTCTCAAGGAGGGACGGACTCGGGCTCTGAGGGCTTGGACCTCCAAAAGTGAGCCCGATCTACTCTCTAACAGGGTATAACTATGTGCTACATATATAAAGTGAAAAACGTGCATAAAGTACAAATAAAATACAGATATGAACATACGCTAGTTTTAGTTCTCTAAGCAAGAGCATTCCTCATCATATAAATACATAAAATGGTTGTGTTTTTGGTTTCAAGGCGCTGAGGAACGTTTCTTGTTTAAAACATTGAAACTATAATATGTCCATTTCTGTACTTCATTCACATTATTTCCCACTATAGTCCTGAAACACGTAGTATCAAAAAAAATTATTTTATTATTTCAACAGTTTATTTTTGTACTGAGATATTTTGACTTCATATCTAAAAAGGAAATGATGAGAAATAATAAATTTGTTACTGATTGCTAAGCCATACAAAATGTGGTTAGGTCTAATTTGATTTTTCTAGAGTGTTTTAGCTTTCAATGATAATTAAGAGTGCAGTTAGAATTTTCAGATGTCATGATTTATAAGGAAATAAAACTATGATTGATTTTCTTTCACATCAATTAATTCTTTATTTAGAAGACTAAAATATCTGAATGTAATTTTTTTGTCAAAAATTTTTATTTTTGATAATAATTATACACTTAGTAATGATGTTTATTATCATTATTTTTTATTTATTTATTTTTTTTTTTGATGAAGAAATGCATTTATCTGATAAGCATTACAAATAGAGCACGTCTAGTCATATAATTTAACATAAAGATTCTATGGCTTGAGATTTCGTTATCTGTAAATTAGACCTAAATCATAATGAATGGAATATGTGGGTTTACTGTCCGAAAAAAAAAATAGCCAGAGCTCATAAATGTTTAATATTGTTTTTTTGGAAGAGAGAACACTTTTAGTTCATTTTCTAAAAAGAGGATGTAATAGAAAATGTTAATAGAAAATTTTAAAGAAGAAAACAATGAAAAATATAATAAAAAATAATGAATATAATAAAAAATAATGAATTTTCAGAAAATAGTGTGCTTTGGTTTAACAATGGAATATTTTTAAGTAGAATTTTTGATTATTGTTTTCCTTTTGTAAATAGTTTATGTATTTTACTTCTGTATTTGTATTCTTTTCCTCTCTTCCTGGACTTTTTGCAAAACCTTTGGGGTACAGAGAGAGCAAATTTTAGACATTTCTTGTGCTCTCTCGATAGAAAAGGTTTCGTGCTTTTGTCTTTCGGAGCTGGTACCTCCTGATGAAGTCAGCTTCGGTTGTTATTGTTATATTTTTCATTACTTTCTTCTTCAAAATTTTCGATTGGTTTCAATTTTCTTATGGGATTTCGGCTGTATTGTGCAACCTTCCTTTGGAATTGTAGTATTGAACTGCTTTACACATGATTTTTGATTTCACTTACTATCAAATCAGTTAAGAAATTCTTAGGCGACATGTAAACTTCCTTACAAAAGTATAAATATTTCTGCACTTCATACTTTGATATAGTTGAAACTAACAAAGACTATTTCAAACTTATTAATTAAGCTTTCAATCGCTTATTGTCTTAATTATAAAAATTTTGAAACTCCACCTTTTCTCCTTTTTATAGTCATGCAATGATTTCTTCATTTCAAAAGATTTTAATGGTTTATTGTTAGTTTTTGAAAAACATCTTATATCATCACATTTCTATGAAGAAAAAAGAAACAATATTTCAATATAATTACATTTTTTCATGCACTCATATTTAGTAATAACTATATGAGAATATAATTTTAATCTAAATATTAAAGAGATTAATATAAATATTCATTAATAAAGAGATTTTTAGAAATAAAAACAATAATATCAAATTTTAAAAAATAGTTTCTTTGTTAATTGTGCCATTTTTAAGGCATCTTAATTTTGAGTTAAAACTCTATGTACTAAACTAGTAAAATAGTCCTAAATAAAATAAATGCATAAACCAAACAAAAATGCAGCACTGTATTAGAGTTTTAAAGACAATGAAATTTTGATTTTAAGCATTCTATCTTTAAGAAAACATGGAAATAATAAAAAGTGTATTTTTTATTTATAGAGTTTTCTTTTTCTGTTTAAGTTGTTTTCTAGGTCAGCTTCAACTTGTATGCATAGTTTTAAAAATTGCTGCATAATTTTAAAAATTTTAATACAGAATTTACAGGGTGCTACATGTTACCAAATCATTGTTGGAACTGGATTTGGGTTTACTAATTGTTAATATCATAAGTGCCTTCTTTTTAACTTCAAAAATTATTTACTGTAAAAAACTTAGACCAGAAAAAAACATAGCTTTTTATTTGGCAGTTACAGAGTCAGCCAAAAGCTGCTTCTAATTATAGTAAAACATCCAGGTGGCAATTATGAAGTCTTAGAACTGAACACTCATGTTAAAGGGCCAATTGCATATCATGAATATCTCTAGACTTATATAATAGAAGTAATTTATATACATATATTTCTTCCTGCAAAGTACTTTCATAAAAATATTAGTTTACTTCAGATAAAGTAAAACTTTTTACACTTAAAACTATGCTTAGTGTAAAAATATAATTGAAATAAAATTTTGAGTATCTAAAGCAAATTGCGCAAGATTTATTTCTTCAAAGCAATTGGAATATAGAAGTAATAGTTTTAAAATCAATTTTCTTCCAAGTCTCAAAATTTATTCTTTAAAAAAAATTAATTTAGCGCTTTAGAGTTTTTAATTTTAATATGACCATTAAATAAATGCCTTGATGTCAAAGAATTATAAAGATATTATTAATTAAAATACTCACTTGCATTATACCCCAGATAACAGTATAATCCTTTTTGAAAAAGAAAAAAAACATTTGTACAAAGCATCATCTTATTCTAAATAATTAGCTGACTTGATTACTTTTCCAAGTTGATTTTATAAAATTACATTCCTTTTCAAACTTTTTCTTGATATCATTTGTATTACAATATTATATGTTCCTGACATGAATAACATAACAAGATTCTTATCAGTAAAAGTGGAAGTCATGATAGCCAAAATTAAGTTAAATAAATAATGACGAGAAAAAAGAAGACACACCAAAAATTACAACGCATCATCCAAACACTGCCAAGCACCTAGCCTCATTTGTAGGTTTCTATCTTTTAACAGCTATGGCAGGTTTGGTATATATTTTTGACTAGAGTCAAACAACGTAGACAGCGCTTGAGCTGGTACCCTCTCTTCCCCACCACAATCAATGCAAGGACGTTCAGCCACGACCGATTTAGTGTACACCTTGCAGCATTTATGCGGTGGCTGTTATATTGGCTGTGAGGATAGAGTGCCAAAATGTATACTATTTAGATTTCTTTAGAAAAAGCTAAGTAGGCAATTAACAAACAAACATTCATCTCATACCTTATACTTTTAAAACTGTTCAAATACAATAAATATTTACTATTTCACACAATACATTTCTTATGGTAATACAATAATTCATCTGCATAAAAATCAGGGTTCCCACTCAATTTCAGAAAGAAAAAAAAATTCCTGACTTTTCCTGGCATACCAGGTAAATTTTAATGATAATTGAGTCCATAGTTTCATCAGAAAACTTTGATTCTTTTATTTGTAATGTGAAATATTAGTTCCTATGTTAAAAAAATATTTTAAAATGAGGATTGGTACTTTTCAGTTTGACTAAAATGTGAAATTTTTACAACAAATAATTGTAATATATGTTAGAATTATTTAACTCGAATCTCAATAACTGATTACAGTTACTGACAATTTTAAGACTGGTAATTTTCCAGGTATGAGATAGGAATACTCCAGGTTTTAGTAAAAAAATTGCAATTTTCCCTGACTATTCCCTGATATTTAGAGTTAAAACAAAATTCCCTAACAATTCCAGGTTTTCCCAGTTCTCCCAGACTCGTGGGAACCCTGAAAATATATTACTTCAAAACAGCAATTTAAAAAAAAAATTTAAGGGAATAAAGAGATAATTATTACCAATTCAGTCACGAGTTTATGACAGCGGATAACATCAATTATTCTCCTTTCTAAGGCTTCCAAATATTGAAGCACATTATCATCAGTTATTCCTTCATCTACAGTGAATGCAACTCGGTGAGAAGAAAAATTATCCAAGAAATTATAAATTCTCTTCAAAGCACTCTTAATTGCTTCCAATTCTTCTGCTTTTAAATCAGAAGCGTCTTCTAACTCTTGTGCTTCCATTCTCAACATATCAGTACAATTCTAAAAAATATTTAATCGAATGGGACAGATTAAAAAAAAAGTAAGTAACATAATAAAAAAAGATATATTGATATAAAAGATGAAGGAAAATGAAGCAGACAGAGTTAAAGAATTTTTAGATAAAATAAATAATAATAAAAAAAAAACAGTATAGAACATATATATATATACACATATAAAATGTTAGAGTATAAATAATTATGTGTTATAAAAGAATGATCTTTAGAAAATTATTTCATCAAATAAAAATGGGTAAATATTAGTGATGCAACGGATCTTAATTTGGCCGGATAACGGATACCGGAAATCCGGCCAATCTTTGAGCCGGATATCCGGTATCCGATCACAGTACTTTTTTAAAATATGTATTTATAATCAATTGGACTAGACAAAACTATTATTTTTCTTTTGCTTATATGATTATATATTTCTTTTAAATAAACTTTCAATTAAGAGTACTTAACTTTAAATTTCTGAATATCAATAAATAACTATTATGTAAATAACACTTAGTTGAAGAATGTTATCTGCACTGAGTATTGTGCTTAGCTTAAATAAAACCACTGATAGAATATTTATTATAAGCAGGTGGCAGAAACAAACATCTGTTAAAGATTCAAACTTATTTATATAAAAAATCAAATTGAAATAATGAATAAATTAATAATTTTAAAAATATTTCTTTCTTTTGTTCTTAATATTGAAGTATATATATAATTTTAATCATCTTTTTCTGAAATAATGTTCTTGTTCTGAAATAATGTTCTTATGCTCTTGCCATTTGCAAAAACAGGTTTCACTTCTGTAGGTTATTCTTACCACCCACTTTGTAAGACCAGGTCCCTAAGATAAGAGATAAGATATATTGTGTAATGGTCAATGGTGTTTTCCCCTTTGTTAACTGTAACTGAATCTGTATACTTACCTCAGTTATGCTTTGATAGTTATAGGCTGCAGTTATATTTTACTTCATTTTAATAATTGTGAGAATAAATTTGTCATAAACTGTTGAAAGGCAATTATAATCATGAGTTTTAAAAGCAAAAGTGCTGTATGGAATTATTTCAAGTATGTGGAGGATGCAATTAAAGTGAAATGCAATCTTTGTTCCTGTTTTATCTCAAGAGGTGGAACAGGCAAAAAAGCATCAACTTCTCCACTATTAAATCATCTAAGGAGAAAACATTTAGCAGAATATGCCAAAATTAATTACTGCAATGAAAAAGGTCAGGATTTAGGTTTTGAATCCACTGATGATACTGTAAATGCAGATGATCCCAGTGCAAGTTCTAAAAAAAGAAGATTGGAGCAACCAACTTTAGAGGCAGTTCTGGAAAAGAAAAAAATCTTGGATATAAACAATCCAAAAGCTGTAGAATTACATTATGTTATTGGCCAAATGATAGCAGTAGATAATCAACCATACTTATTTGTGGAAGATGAAGGTTTTCGAAATCTCATAGCAAAAACACAACCATAGTATAAAGCTCCATCAAGGGAATATTTCAAACAAGTAATTATATCAAAAATGCATTCAAAATGTAAAGAAGAAATTGAGTCATTGCTTTCTTCAGCTACATATATATCTTTAACTACTGATATATGGTCTAATTCAGTTTTATTAGCTTTACTGCTCACTGGATAGATAATGATTTTAATTACAAACATTTTGTATTAAACTCAAGACACTTTCCCGGAAGTCATACTGGAGAAAATGTAGGCAAGATGTTAAGCAGCTTGAGCGAGGAATGGAATGTGACAAGTAAAATATATCTGGTCATTCGTGATGGTGGTTCAAATATTGTAAAAGCCGTAAATGATCTCAATTTAGAAAGTGAATCTTGTTTTTTACATAATTTGCATTTNATATAAATAGGCATTATTAATATTAAAGTAATCTACGTATCGGCTAGTGATGCAACGGATCTTAATTTGGCAGGATACCGGGTATCCGGCCAATCTTTGAGCCGGATATCCGGTATCTAGCCGCAGTACTTTTTTAAAAATAAGTATTTATAAAACAATTCCTCAGATCGATTAATACTTTATTCTAATATTTGTCTTTAATATAACTGCCAACCATTCAGATCTTTTCTCAATTTTTTAAATCAAGTGAAACTAGAAATTTTTTTTTAATGAAATTAGTTATTTATTAGTTAATATTTATTTGTTTTTGGGAGGTTGGCTATTATATATTTATATATATAATAAATATGTATATCCGTATAGTAAATATATTCTGTTGTAATTGTATACCATATATTTATATACTACATACTATGTTATATTACTTAACTTTCAAAATACTAACATACTTTAAGAATATTTATATTAATGGTTAGTATAACATAGCTGTTGTAGGTAGCACCTAATACATAGCACCTAATACAAATATGTTGTAGGTAAACCTAATACATATTTTAAGTATAATTTCTTTATTTTATAAACACTATAAGTATAAAAAAAATTATATTTGAAAAGAATATTGATTTTTATGTTAATATTACATTTTCTACCATCATTGTGATGAATTATTTATATATATATATATATATTTCATTTTTACCTTTCTACTCAATATTTTATTTCGAGCCAAATGTTACTACCGGATAATCGTAATAACCGGATACCCGGCCTACTAGCCGGATAGATACTGCCTGCCGGATATCCGTTGCATCTCTAGTAAATATTATACATAGATAAAAGAAAGTTTGTCAAAACATTTAAAAAAAAATCAATTACATAAATGCTTGTTTATTTTTTAAAAAAATCTTGAATTTAAAACAATGGTTTCCTGGAGCAAATATATTTCAGAATTTTTCACCTCTTTTTTTTCAAAAAAAACAAAACAAAACAAACAAAATCATTATTTGTACATACTCATTATTTGTATTATACATTATTAGAAATTATTTTAAAAATAAAACTTAAAAAAAAAAGAAAGATAAAAAGAGTTATGTTTGTATTTTTTTTCTCTCTCTCTTTTATTTTATTATGTTTGTATTTTTTCTCTCTCTCTCTTATGTGTTATTATTTTCTATTACTATTATCTCTCTCTCTCTTTTATTTTATATGATGTATGAGATTTATTTTCCATTTAATGTTGAGATTTTATTATGGGTATTCATGGCATATTTATAAGATATTTAATACATAATATTACATAATTTCTCAATATCATTTCATTTTAAATTAGATTGATATTCGTTATGGTATAAAAACGTTTATTCAATAGAATATGTGTTTAAATTTTATAATGTTTCAAATCAATTAATTGAGAATAAATTGACATAATATTGTATTTTAATATACAACCCAAAACTATTGTATCTTAAATCACATAATTATTTTTTATTGTATAAGAAATGCTGCTTCAATAAAATAGCTGGGTTTTTTTCTACATCATTTAAAACTCTGGAAGAAAAAAAATTAATAAAAACAATTCAAAGTAACAAAAATAAATAAAACTTAAAAAAAAAATGGATTTTGCAATTCGTCTTATTTGTTTCTCAGACTCTATAGTCAAATACAGGGCTGTGAACTACTATGTTTTGTGCAAAATACTTTATAGGATGGTAGACAAGTAAGAACTAAAGCTTTTTGAATTTCTTGTAACTCCGCCAATATTTTAAAAGCTTTACTACGAGAGAGCTAGAACAAAGTGGGATTTTATATAACTTTTGAATCACTTAAATGTACTGGTGTGGAAAATAAATTTTTAAAAAAATTACAGAACAAGAGACCATACATTAAAGCATAATCTTATTTACCACTCAAAGAAAATTTCCCAAAAAGCATAGAAAGTTGGTAGCCCTTCAAATATACAAAGAAAGAAGCAGAGAAAAAATCTGTTTGTAAGTTATCATTTGTAAAAATGGAAGCATGAATGAAATTGGACTCAAAAATTTGCTAAAAAATATGAAATTTTTTTATATTGAACTAATTACACTGATATTATAATGCAAACTGATATTAAAAAATGCAAAAAAATTTATTTGCAATAAATATCATATGTAATACAATGCTCATAAAAAAAATCAAAATAAAATTAACAAAGATTCCTGTAATAATAACAAAATATATATGATGACAACCATGCAAAAACAAACAGAATAAAATGTATCTATACATTTATACTTACAAAAATAAACAAAAAATAATAATTTTTCTTCCAAAAAATTATTTGCATTGAAGGTGAAAGACCCCAGAAATCCTTTATTGCAATGCATTATTTAGAAATAATGATGATTAAGATGCATTGCAAACCTAAATAATTTCAAAATAAAAATAATAAAAAAAAAAATTCAAAATATGAAAGTATTGCAAAAAATACATATAAAAGAGAATAAATAATAAAATTTTGATGAGTTTCAAAAAAAGGAAGACACAATAAATTGTAACTCTCCAAAGAGAAAAATAAAATAAAACAAATTGTTAAATTTTATTGGCAAATAAATTATAAAACTTAAATGCGTTATAATGAGAAAGAAGAAAAACTATTCAGATCCCATCTCAAAATTTATAATATTTTAGGGTTCCATTTAAACAATGCAGTAGAGACAATGTTTTATAAGAGATTAGTTATAATAGCAAAATAAATAATTCTTAGATATTCTAATTTGACTGTTTTATTAGTTTTGATTAATATAGAAAATAATCAAACATAGAAAATATAACTTTAAGATAAGATTATAATTTTTAAGGTAAGATTATAATTTTAAAATTAATTCTGTTAATGTGGATCAACACACAAGTAGCATTATTTTAATTTATAAAATCAGTACCTCTGTTAGTCCAATATTTAAAAATTGATAGATTCAAAACAAAAAAAGTTCTAATAATTGTAGTCCTCAATAAAATGAAATCATATTTTTTTTCATGCTTCTATCTTATTATTTAGCAATATATGTTTTTAAATCAAATAAATTAGACATCAATAATACTGCTGTGCAATAGAAAAATCAGCCTAAAGGACAAAAAACTTGTATAAGCAACTTATTCTGAATGAACTTACTTTTTTTCAATCAATTTGGCATTTTTGTATGATAATCTCCGTATCAAAAAAAAAATTTTTTTTCTTCAAAAATAGATTTTGTTTTATCATTTTTTAAAAAAAAATTCTATTTTAGCTTTCAAAGCATGAGTAATAGATTTTACTAATTTCTTTTTTAATTTATTATCTGTTTTTTGTCAAACCACTTTTTTCTTGAAATCAAATGCGAAACACTTTTGCTGTTTTCTTATTTGCACGACAGAATAATAATATCATAAGACAGACAAAATATAATTAGTTTTAATCTTTCTTAAATAAGTAGTCAATTTATGAAAAAAGACAATAAATTATCAACCGGAATTTATTAATTAAACATTAAGATTTATTTGTATTGTCTGACAATTACTTATTCATTTAGAAAAATGTAATTAACAGTATATAACCCCTCCCCCCATAGAAATACATTCTTACATTGCGGTTCTTGCCAGTTGGTAAACTCACTAAAGAAATTTGCCATGCATTAATAATAAACTTTCCAAGAATAAAATCATTCATATATCAATGCAAACTCAGAAAAGAAATTAGCCACTTATTACTAACATTGATCTTCCTTCAGCCATCAAAATAACATCAAGACAATCAACATTTACTAAAACTGAAATAGAATCATTGATTCATTGTAATAGAAATGCTCAGTTGTAATGTTGTTTTTTTTTAATTTTATTAAAAAAAAATTATTGCCAGTTTGCAAACTCACGAAAGAAATTAGCCACTTATTAATAACAAACTTTCCAAGAATAAAATCATTCATATATGATAACATTGATATTCCTACGGCCATCAAAATCACAATTTGACATCAGGACAAGCATTTAAATCAAAATAACTTGATAACTAATCAATATTTATTAAACTGAAATAGAATCATTGTATTAGAAATGCTCAGTTAAAATGCTTTGTTTCTAGTTTGTAAAAAAAATTATTTAGGTATCATTTGAAAATAACAGGTACCTTTTCATTCACTTCGCTTTATTTAACTCTAATTTAGATGACTAATTACTTTTCATGACACAAATAGGGATGGAATTTAGAACTAGTGGGGGGAAAAGAGATATTTTTTCAAACAGAAATGAGAATATTGTAATTTATTTAATTATTTGTTCACACTGCTAAAGAGAAGAGGTCTTCTTTCATTGAGGAATGTATACAACTTTAAGCTTACTAATATAAAATTGAAATTAAAATAGATTCACTTACCCAATAAAGATTTCTAACAAATAACTAAATTCATGTTAATTAATTTTAATGATTTTTTTTTGTATATTTAAACTTGTAATATCTTGAAAAACTGAGAAAAAATACTATCACACTTCTGAGAGGGCGACTGAGCCATTTATTATAATTAGCCCCTTCAGGTACTGATGCAATCATGTTAATTGGCATACACAGTATTATTTGTATTATCTTTTTTTAACATCATAACAAACAAACAAAAAACACTATTTTAAAATGCTCAGAATATCTATTATCTTGAATGGTTATGCTTTGGTTAATTAAATTTGAATGTAATGAAACATCATAAATTACAAAAACTGAAGAAAGTTTTTTTCTTACCTCAATATCATTTCTTACAGCCAAATCTTTTCGATTTTGCTCTTTATACTGGCGGCTCAGAATATCTAACTCTTCTCTTTGAGCTCTGACCTCTTCATGCAAGTTCTCAATTTCTATACTCATATTATTCACCTTTTCAAATAAAGCCAGGTTACTTTCCTCCTCCACAAGGTATGCCTTGCATATGCGATTGACATCCTTGCATCCAGAAGCAAGTTGAATTCGGGCCATTATTCTGTGATATGACAGCAGGCGCTGCTCCATTATTTGTTCATTTCGAGTCTCTAGCTCCTTCTCTTCACTATTTAAAAAAGAAGAATAAATAAATTCTATGTATATACGAAGACAGATTGAATAGGAAACTTTTCATGCAGATCTTCAACTTGGAAGTTTATACTCTCCACATCACTTACAGTGACAGTTAAGTAATAAATAAGCTGAAATATAATTTTAAAATTAAATCAGACCTTAAAAACATCACAGCATGCTTATCAAGTCAGTTATAAGTTCATATGCTTATCTTTGAATTAATTAAAGGTCAAAACTTTTAATAATTGGGAAAAATTTCCTGGCATCTAGTTAAAGAAATTGTAAGGACTTCTAATGTAAAAAATTGGATGAGATACATAGAATCAGTACTGGTAGTAGAATACTTATCAGCATAATGAGAATGATAACTGAGTCTTCAAATATATACGAAAGATTAAGATTAGTAATACATAGGCTTTATTTCTAAATATTCTAAAAATAGGGCTGTGACAAGCCAAAATTGATTTAGTTTTTCATCAAATGAACAGAATAGAAAAAGATTTAAAGGGTCAAGAAATTCGAAATATTGAAAACAAGGAATGCTTATTCCGAAAAATTACGTTTTCTGCCTAGTTTCATAATTTACAATATTGCCTGCCCTGATTGAATAGCATATTTAGGGTTAGGCCCTTAAACCAATAAGATTGAATCTCAATAAGTGAAAATCTGATTATTAGGTCAAAAGTTAATGAGGATGATTTCATTTTGAAGTGCACTGTACAGATATAAAATAGTTCATTGAAAGAGATATTTTTTAATTTATTATTTATATAATAATGAACAGGTTCAATACAGTGTTCTATGAGTTCCAAAATAGTCTGAAAAAAAAACATATAACAACATATTTTTATGATTGTTTAAAAACAACCACACATAATTTAAAAAATTACTATTTTTTTAGAACCAGATGCATTTCATATTTGCAATATAAAAACTTTAATAACAATGAAAAACAGTATGCATGCATGTTTTTTGTAAGTTCTATCATTTAGTGAGTAAAATTTCGTGAATTACTTTAAAAGTAAAAAAAGAATCAAACCTATTTGCCACTCCGTCTCTTGATTTAAACTCTAAAAATGACTTCAACTGTTCATCTTGCTCCACTAAAATTTTTAATTCTTTAATCTTCTCACCCAAACGTTTCTGATCCACTTGAGTTCTTTCATTCACAAGATTCAGCTTGTATTTCACAGATTCTCTAAAAATTATTATCTGTATGCCATTATTAATCATACAAAAATTATAACCATTGAAAAATATATTCTAATTATATTAAATTCATAAATAAATCATTCAATAATAAGGTTTCATTTCATTTACCTCCAAATTATATTGAAAAAAATATTAGAATATATTGTTCTAAGAGTGTGAAAACCATTTTTTAATACAAATGAAACTTTTTTGAGAGGGAAACTGATTTATTGGAACTTTTTTGTAAGAGGAAATACTCTATTAATCAAGCATTTGTGGGTATACTTGTTCGAAGAAAATTATCATATTAAATGTGAGTTAAATAAGAACTAGTCTCATCAACTCTGATACATGAGATTTAACTAAAACTAACTTCATTGGAAAATAAGAGAGTTAGGAAAAGTAAATCATTTGTAGCTATGAAAAAAGAAACAATAGTAATATAACAGTCCTTGCAATAATAAATTTCATACATATCAAAATATTCAAAGAAAATTCATCTTTCTATCAGAAATCAAAATTGTTTTAATAATTAAATTACAAAAATGTTTTCAATTGTCTTCAAAAAAAAAAAAATAAATAAATAAATAAATAAAAATAAAAACTAACTTGGCATAGTAAATATGAAGATAAAACAGGATTAAACTGAAAAAACTGCAAATTTCATGATTCAATTGAAAGAACTAGAATTTTTATGGTAGAATTTAAAAACTGAAATTTTATATATCTGATAGGAAATACAAATATAAAACAGTTTGCATAAATTTAATTAGGATAAGAGATCAAACAAGAAAGAGTTTGGTAAGTAATAGAATACAAAAGTATACAAGAAAGATGAGTGTAAAAATATTATGAAACGATTTTAGTATTAAAATGTAAGCAAAAGTGATGTTATCTCAAACACTTAAATACATAAACAGTACATAATCAGTCAGCAAGCAGTCAAATAAACAAAGTAAATAAATTAAATAAAAAGTGAGAGTAACAAGCAGCCTTCACAGATTTGTCTGTAATAAACTTTAAAATAATAGAACGATTCTCGATGTGGTTACCCACAGCAACCTTGTGGCACAGATAGCAACCAGTAGTTTTGTAATAATTGCAACTGTAACTAGGCCTGTTATTTCCTTTCTTGAACTGGATATTTAACCGCTTATCAATAAATACATTAACCTATGAGAATATTCTGCTATCTTCCATTTTATTGTAAACAATATTCTTCTAACATCATACAAAAGAAAAACTTATTGGGCCATAACAGATCCAGTTCAAACAAATCCACCTTGTTTGCGGATTTCCATATATATCACGATGGGTGAAAATCCAGTCTTGAGTAATGCATACATAAAAAAATATGTTCCAATACAATCGAAAAGATTTTCAAGTCCTTCTAAAATAAAAAGAAATCAATATTTGCATGCATAAGACTTTATGTGTCTAAAGCTTGCTTAAAAATAAACCAAAATCAAAATTTTTCAAAAGGTTACACGTTTGGCCAAAAAAGTGCTAAATTTATCATGAAGTACAACCAAAATCTAAGTATTGCACAAGTAGGCTTGAACAATTGATCGATGTCAATTGCAATATTTCATAAAAAAAGAAATGATTTTCAAACGCTATTAAATTTTAATATTGGTTATACTCACACCAACGAAAAGATATATGTCATATTGTCTTTAGGCTGGTTTGAGTTTAATCTATATCTATGTAATCGATCATATATTATCTATAAACAGAATGAATCAACATACATATAAAGTTAATGTATATTTAGTAGTAAGAAGAATAAATAGAAATGCATATAAAGTCAATTAATATCAACTGATAAATCAAATATTTTAAAGCTTTATAATAAGCTAATATATTTTTATAAGAGATTTATGTCAATATTTGTTCACTTAAGTTATTTTAGATATACTTGGCACAATTAAAGAAAATAAGTTTGTATTTGTATCAAGAACTTCATAACAGCATGACTTTTAAATTCATCGCTCACACGAAATTAAAGCAACCAAATTTTAATAAGAGAAAGAAAAAAGTACCGTTTACAAACATACATGCCTAACTTTAGATATCTATAATTTTTTTGTATTTTTAAAATGTTTTTGCTCTTTTTAATTCAAAATTGGGTAGAAATTTATATTTTTATTTGTTAGTTCTTAAAGGAATTTACTTGCTTATATACATATGATTTTTATAAGCAATTTTAAGACAATAATCTCCATAATTTAAGTAATTTTTTAATACATAAAAAAATAAGGGTAATACAGGGATAATGGCAAAATTTAATGGAGTTGGTAGCTATGGTACACTATTCGTTGTTTCAAAACTATCATATGTAGAGATTAAAATTTGAAAAAGTCAACCAATAAATTTTTAAACAGAAAAGGCATTATAAAAAGAAAACAAAATGGAAATAAATGAATGGAAGTAAATGATAATGAGTTATGATAAAATTTTATTATTCATAAATCATTTTTTTGTTTTTGAATTCAAATCATTTTTACAAACATATTTTTAACAAAGAAATCTGTTTAGGAAATAATATAAGGTAGTTTACCCTGTTTGATATGACATAGTAGCAGAATGAACAACCTCCAATAAAGTTTTCCTACCCAAGGCTAATAATCGTTTGATGTTACTGTACTTTCTACGAAATGAACTTTGAGTGAGAAGCAAAGAGTTGATATCCTCTCTCAAGTTATTATTAGATATGAGAAGTTGATTGTATTTATGCAAGCTCTGTAAATAAATAAATAAAATCAACAAATAAATCAATTTTGTATGATATAAAAAAAAATCAATTAATATCTACCTACAAATAGATCCATAAAATCTATCTTATAACAACTAAGAATAACAAAACAGTCATATATGATGTATTTAATGACAAAATTTAAAGCATTTATAACTAAGACGACAAAATTACAATCATTCATTAAAATACATACTGGAGCATAAGAAATAAATTTACATGCTCTCAATGTCTTAATTTCAATGTTGCGGAAGAGAAGTAAAATAGTAATAAAAAAAATAAGTAGGTAAAGAGCTGAAAGCAGAAGCCAAAGGGAAAAAAATAAATAAAATAAATAAATATATAAAAAATAATGGTCAAGGGAAGAAAAAAAATGGTGTTACAAACTAAATCTGGAATTGTATCAAAATGTCACAAGAATGAAGTAAAAGAATAGATTACTAGGCTTCCATTTCACTTGAAAGATGAAACCCTTGTAAAGAGACTGTAAAACTCAAAACTTTTTTAAAAATTTAAAGCATTATTTAATGCAAAAAGTAAGATATACATTAAAAATTTATGTATCAAATTAATAATAAGAATATAAAAGTCTTATACTTGAAATAATTGTAAAATATAATTATTATATAAGAAAAGAAAGAATATTCTAATAAATAAGACAGTAAAGAATGAAAAATATTACTCCATTTAAGCGATTTTCCAGAAAGGAAATATTTTGCTGGTGCTTAAGAACCCTACTCGAACTACGCAGGGCTTTGACAACTTCCTTTTGCTTCACTCTAGTTTTTTTGTCAACTTCTGATATCTGGAAGAGAGGAATTTCATCGAGTTTGAAAATCATATTGATAACAAAATATATTTGGAAATAGTTCAAATAGAACAGATTAATATATTAACTTCAGAAATAATAAATTAAAAAAATTAATATAATTCTTTTCATTAAAATCAAATAGGCAACAAATTTTATTTTTTTGGTGGCTTGATGATCACTTTAGCTGATATATATTATGCAAAGCTTTGTAAGTTAATGAGCTCTGCTTTTGACATATTACTCATATAAAACACCTTTTGGGTGATTATGGACTAGAGAATGCCCAAACTTCCTTCCATTTTTAAATTTCAATAGTTCATATCACTTTATTAGCAGAATCTGATGCACTAGATTGCACTAGCATAATTATCTATCTAACTCACATTAATTAAAGTTACTTATACAATCAAGATGACAGAATTATAGGTACTTATACAATATGTTACACACAAAGATAAAACTTTAACAGATCTTATTAATTAGCTCTTATTTTTTCTTTTTTGCAAAATACAAGCCTCCTATAAAGTAACAAAACTGTTCTGGAATGGTGCATTCAATCTAGACTAACTGAAATATTAAAAACTTTTTGTTGGAACGGGGGGAAAAAAACAAAAAAAGGGGGGAAACAGGCATGTTCTATAAAACAGTTAATTTTCCAATTTGAGCTAAGAATGATCATATCACAATTAGGGCTTTATATTTTAGTTCTTAAGATATTAGCCAGATTAAAATTCTTGTCTGCCACTATTTGTACAATAAATTGATTAATTTTAAAAATGTTAAGATGCGCAGTGACCAAAACTATTTAAGAATGTAAAAATTAAATTGGAACTCATTTATTAAAAATAATATTAATTTTAAATAAGGTTGGCATAAAGTTTCCAATACCATCAACATATTATTAAACAATAATAAAATTAGAAACTCAAATATCAAAAAAGATCCTGTACTTTTAATGTTTCATGTTTGTATACCACTGCATTTTGGCTCAAAAATACTTTTTGACAATTGCACCCCTAGGATCAAACTCTAATAGAGTAGGAGGTGTCCATAAGGTTTTCTGAATTCTATTCTGATTTAGAGCTTGCAAAAAGGAGACCCTCAATCTGGGAAAAACATAGCTTGATTTGAAACCAAACTTATCAAAGAAAAAGTTTACTTGCCAGCCCTAAATATTAGGTAGCAAATGGAGAGCTTGTAAGTGAAAAATTTTGCACCGCGTCGTAAAAGCATCTTCATTTACAAAATGAGTAGCTGTCCATTTTTTTAATAATCAAGTTGTATTTTTAATAATTATACAACAAAAAGTTGCAGCATATGTTATTTATACTTGATTATTAAATAAAACATTGTTAAAAAGTACATTATAAATAATCAAGTTATATTTTTAATAATTACATAACAAAAAGATGCAGCAAATGTTAATTATACTCAATTATTAAATAAATATCTTCAAAAAATTTTATACTTTCAAATAAAAATTTAACAGATTATGATATTTTCAAAAAAGACGAAATTTTATAAAACGCAAAATGAAATGAAAACTATTTATGTAACCAAAATGTTTACTTTTCCAACAAATATAGTGAAGTGAAAAAGTTTTTAACTTCAAAATGATATTAAAAATAACAGGATACAAAAATATAAGGAATCTATAAATATCAATATTAAATCAATGGAAAACATCCCAATTAATCTGAATTAAGATTATTTAATGAGAATTTTAATACAGCAAAACATTTATAACATAAATGATATCCAGGGTATATCAATTTAAAATAACATAAAAATTTTTCAGACAAAAAGTAATATTGAGATAAACTAAATAACAAATTTTAAATCTATAAAAATTATTGATAACTCAATTCATTGAATAATAAAATTGTTTGAAGTAGTTGGAAGAAGTAATTTTATGAACTTCATAACTTACATCTCGTTTATAATTTTTCAATTCCTCAGTCTGCTTCGTCAAAAGATTTTCCAGCCTTATCATTTCATCTAAAGCTTTTCGAAATCGTTCTAAATTTTGGTTAGCTTTGTTTGAGAAACTATCACCCTCTTGCAGTCGTAGCTGTAAAGTTAGTTCTGACTTTTGCTTCTTTAATTCAGATATTATTTCCCTAAATTAATGAAAAACAAACAAAAATACTTTAAATAAAAATAACTTTTTGTTTAATCATAATCAAACATTCTACAAAATGAATAAAATTGAATCTAAAAAAATGATAAGTAATGAAAAGAGACTTCAATAAAATTACCTCATATTTTTCTAACATTAGCAATTGAAAGAAAAACAAAAAGAATTGATTGAACAAAAATATGTTGAAACAAGGCTACAGAACTATTAAAATCTATCAGATTCTTAAATCAATATTAATTGTCTCACTAATTAAAAAATGTGATGTTTTACGTCTAATATTTTAATGAGATATAAAAAGATTGAGTATTAGACTGATGAAATATTAAAATAAAAATATTTTCCAAATTAGACAGCTGAAGTATTAAATTCAAAATTGAAATATTTTTTTTAATTATTATTATCATATGAACAGCCATTACTTTAAAACTCAAGTCTTAGGTAGAAATTAGTTATTTTAATTTATTTAATCGAAAAAGACCAAGAACCAGTTAAAGAAATAAATTAAGTTTAGAAATGAGAACAATGATTTGTTATTTTTAAAAATACAAAGCATGATTAAACAAGAAATTATTTTCATCACTACATGAAAACTAAGTAAAAAATAAAAAAAGAAATGTATTCTATGTCCAATTCATTAAAAATTGAAATGAAACAAAATTTTACATTATAAAAACTTCAACAAGCTTGAATTTATTCACCTGCTATTTAAAACTGCTGTTAAGAAAATTGTATTCTAAGCAGGGGTCTGTCCAGACATTTTGTGAAAGGTACCATTTTTGTCAAATTGTGAAAAAATTACTCACATTTGTTCAACCAGGGTCCTGCTTTTAAGAATTTGTGTAAATAGGGTCCGGTTATTGCAAAAAACTCAAGGAGATTTTAAATTGTAAATAGATACAAGATTATATCAGCATCGTAAAATTATAATAAAAAACAAATTTAAAAAATAAACAGCAATTGCTGCTTCTAAATTAGAGATGCAACAAACATTTGGTATTTAGCCTATACTGCTGAAAGCAGAATATTCATTTCAGACGAGTAATGGAAGAATCGTTTACATCCAGCTTTCTTATTTTCTGCCCTGGGAAGGGTTTATTAAAAGGGTCCGATTTAAAGAAAAATCATTTTGTGAAGGGTCCGTTTTTATGAAAAGATATTTTGTGAATGGTCCGTTAACAGCCCCAAATTTCTTCTAAACAAACCCCTGCTAAGTGACCTAACATCAAGGATGTTTCCCTATCGGTACCTATTTATGCCAAAGAACTTTTTTTTTACTTAAAAAAAATTTTTTTTTTTAAATTAAAAGTTTGCCAAAGGTGGTAAACAGCCCTTTGAGTTGGTCACCTTCCATGATATTGTTTTTAATTTCTCATGTACCACTGTTTGGTTGTGTGTCGCCAAAATTTGGTAATTTTTTTTTTTTTTTTTTTTTTTGCAGTTCAGAAATCTTCCAGAGCATACCATTGCTTTCTTATCTGTTGTTGCATCTTTGTGTGTGTGGTGTGACGAGACATTTCTTTCTTTTTCATTTCATAGCATAATCTTTGATATTCATCTCTCACAACAAGTAACCTCTCCTGGTTTATTTTTAATTCAGTTGGCTTTGAATCATCTTCTATGTTATTCATTGTCCTTAAAAATAAGAAATTAAAGATTGTATACAATACAAGACACATATAAAAATATATATAGCTCATTTAATGATTTTACTCTAATTACAAAGAAGAAAATACAATAGTAAACAATAAGGACTAATTAAAGCAAAATAAACTGAAAATCGTGCTTTACAAACCACATAATTTTCTTAATATTTAAAATTCTTCACATAATGCAGCAAAGTATGCTAACATAAAATTGCTAGGAAAGTTGCAAACATTTTTTTTAACACAATATGTTTCAGCAAGAGTTAAAAATAAGTTGCACATTTTAAACATCATGTAAAACAATGATCTGAGTATGTACTATTGATAAGAATTCTATTTGATTTGTAGAAACCATTTAGAAATTATAAGTAAAAATAAATAAAAAAATTTAAAAATGCTTTAATTTAAAAAAAAAAAAAGGAAAGTTGTATAAAGAATAGAGATATATTTAACAAATCAATCTCCCATTAAGTAAAAATAGAATCACTCCACATTTAAAATAATAAATAAAATTGCTTAACAATTAGACTTATTTATAAATAAAGGTACACATATTGCTTAGCATAAATTAAACATTAAAGACACCATAAGGAAAATACTATCTCATTTACTTTAAATAGAAATAAATAAGATAATCCTCAAAAGAATTTAAATATTAACGTTGTGAAATTTACAAGATTAAAATCTAAAAATCAAAACAAACTAATAATTTACTACAAGTTATGAAGAATTAATACAATGTTTGTTTTCATTTTTGAACATAGAAACCGTTTCGAGTAATACAAAAAGCTTCTGGTTGNAAAAAAAAAAAAAAAAAAACATCACAGAGAGGGACAAACTCGAGAGGTAAAACTCGTAGCCACTAACGGGTATACATCTGCATATTTTTTTTTAAAAAAAAAGGATAAAAGTATTAAATTTAAAAAAGTTTTAAATTTATTTGGCGATTGCAGTTGTCGCGACAGATCAGTATACGAAATTATTCCCCATTGGTAATTTCATGGAACGTTTATTAAAATGTATTTTCAATATCTATTTTAGATTTTAAAATGAATTCCTGTTCCAGTCTACTAAGAAGCGTTCTTCCTAGTCATAACTTTACTCCTGCTCGATTCATTCGAGAAGTACCTTGGAAAGATAATTATCTCAGAAGATTTGGGTATAAAGATCCTTTTCATAAGAGACCTGGTAATCAGATTTGTTTTCAATTTTTCTTTTAACAATACATTTAAGTTAGCATTTATTAATTTTTCCGTTTTATACTCCTCCCTTCTTATACCTTTATACCAACCACCTAAATTTTCATTTGCTGATTTCATCGGATCGTTATAAAAATTGAATCGGAAATCTTATGATTTTATTCCATACTTGTAAAGTTTAGACTGAGAGAAGTTGAAATCATTTTCATCTCTGTGTTCAGATTACCTTTCAATTTGTTTTCACAAATAATCTAAGGGGTGTGCAGGCTAGTTCGTCTAATTTTTTGTTGTGATAATTCCATATTTTATTAAAATTAGAACCTGACCTTTTTTTAAGCTCTTTTACCAAAGAAAAGGAAAAAAAATTGGGAATAAGGCTATAATGGAATACTGGAAATAAGGCTATAATTTGATACCATATTTTGGAAAGATCTCTTTTTTGTGATCAGTAGAATAATCGCCAAGCCTTTACAGCTTCCAAGCACGAGAGAAACTATAAAAAAAACATCAGAACACTAACTTGAAGTATTTAATTCCTTGCCAGCCCTCGTCAAACTTCTGCTTGTTTCCTTCTTTCTTTTTTTAAAAAATGTGAGAAAATCCATGCATCTTGGTGATTGCAATTAGCGTGATATATTGCTATATCTCCATATCCTTATCTGCGCCGAAATATTACACTATATCCAAAGTACTTCCTTCCAAGTTGTAGTCGATGAATAACTAAAAAATTACCACAGAAGAAGATCAACCTCAATTGATATACCTCCTAGCTACTCCTAACAAACCCTTGTGTATTTTTGTTTTCTTTTTTTTAAAAATAATATTATAAGTTTTACTTTTGGCGCTTTGAAAATTATACTTGGCCTGACATATTATGATATGGAAATATCTTGCTATAATTAATTATCTGGTCTTTTGAACGGAATAGAAGCTTAAATATGTTAAAAAATTGGTATTAGTTTATAATCATTAGGTATATTATATACTTTTAGCTTTGGCAATTTGAAAATTAACCTATTACATAACGGTAAACAAAAGTTGCATTAACCCAAAAGTGAAGTAATCGAAATTTATTTTATTACCTGCGTTGACAAGCTAATCCAATTCTGAGTTTACGACTCTCTGCTGGCAGAGTTTAGTGCGTTGTGGAAAATGCCCAGCAGGCATAATGAAAAAAGTCATCTTTTAACTAATCATAAATTTTATTAAGCAAGAAAAATCATAACTTAACTTAAACATCATAAAGGAGAAACAATCCTCTCCATAACATGAATTCAATACACACAGTCTTGAAAATCAAAAGAAACAAAACTCCCAAATCCAATCTTGATTTGTTATATATATACAAAGTAACACTTGCATAATGAGGGTACTTACACACTCAAAATTAATACTATGCAAATTCTGTCTTTAAACTATTTTTAAATGTTCGAACTCCCTCCTTCAGAGGTTTTTCGAACTCGTGATCTCTGACTCTTACTCGAACCTTGTTTATTGAAATTCATAGTCTAACACTCTCAGGATTCAACTCTGTAGCCTTTTAATTTTGATTCCAATCCAAAAGACTAGAAAACTCCTGGATCATACATTAGTACAAAATAGCCTTCGTGGAGAGCTTTTTGAAGGAACAAATCCACATTTACATTACATGGGGAGAAAAAACTATGAAAACCTTCCACAGTTAGTCTGACAGCAGGAGGATTTTAACCAATAAGCCTCCTAATTCTGATTCTATTAAATCAGCTCTGGGATTGCTGAGTGCCGGGAGCAGAATTAGTATCAACCAGCCAATGCTGAGATTTAAACTAGGTGAGTGCTCTGTCCTCTACGCATGTGCCGTTCAATGTGATATTAAACAAAGACAGCAAAATATATCATATTAACCAGAAAGAGGCTTTCGGCAAAACTGATCAAAAATTATCGCCAAAACTAGGGGGCCTCTGATTCCACACCTTAACCTAACACTTATCTAAAAGTCTTTTTTTTAGAAATAAGGTGAGATTTTTCCACTTGAATGCAAATCATGTAAATTCTCATAAATAATTCTTCTCATTTTTTTTCCAAACTTTTTGGGGCCAATGTATATTAAATCACAAATGTTTATCATTTTCCCAAAACTATAGCTTTTTCTGAAATTGACATTTTTTGTTATTTTCATAATTAACATCAATAGGTTGAAAGATAGACAAAGAGTGTAAGAAAGTAATAAATATAATAGAGTAAAAAATAAATTACCCACAATAACTAGCAATATTAATTTAGAAAACATAAATAACTGTTTCAATTTCAGAACCATTTTTAAAATGGACTATTACTTTCAGAAAAGCATTATTTCATTTGTTGGCAAAGACAACTTGTTATTGACAATCAAGTGCAGGTGGTTATACTATATCTATCATTGTAGAGTTGTATTTTATAAAGATAAAATCAAAGTTAAATTTTCTTATTCTAGCTACCATTTTAAATTTTACAATAAATTTATTTTACTGAACAATATGTTATTGTCATGAGAAAACACCATATTTTCTGCAATAGTTAAATGATGATATGCATCTTGTTACTACTTGATGTATTTTATCAACAGGAACTGTCAGGAAGAATTTTGTCACCCAGTATCGCGTAATACATCAAAGGACTTGTTAAATAAGCTACCTTGTCAAACTTTTTAGAAGCAGTTTCTTTTTCTTTAGGTCTTAATTACTGTCTGACAGGGTTTAGAAAACCCCCAACCCGGGTGGTTTTTATTGGGTTTTATTTTAAAGATATTGCCTAGTTTAACTCTTTTTAGGTGTAATTTTTAATTCAAAAGAGGACAGTTTTATTTAAAAAAAAAAACTTTCATAGTAAAGTAACTAAATGAGGAATTGAAATAAAAAAATATCCTTGATTTTAACGTAATACCATCTTTCCTTGCTGGTATTAATAAAAAGCTCTTAAATTAATTCCTTCTTTGAATAGAAATGAAGGCATAATATTGGGGTCCAAGAAATATGCTGTTTTCTGTTTTATTTATTTGTTTTTAAATAAAGTTATAGTTTTATTTCTTTTTGTTAAAATAAAGTAAATCTTTTGCAGGTCATATAACTACATGACAATTTTCTTGTTTTTTGAATTGCTCTTTAAACTATGCATTTAGAATTAGTTTTGCTACAAATTCAATAATTAAAAATGTGAGTAATAAATTAATCAATCATGTTAACTTTTGTTGAATAATATTTATAATGCAAAATAAGTTAACATTAATTTCATATTGTTCAGTATTTTATCATGGTTTGAAATTTAAAGAATTTTGATATTTAAATCATCATTTTGTAGCATTAAAATATAATTACTAACAACATATTTTAATTCATCCATTTGCATATTTTTATAAAATATGCAAATGGATGGATACATTATTTTGAAAAGAATTAAAAAATTCTATTTTTAATATTTTGTTATAATATGCTGCTTGTTTTATTAGTATTTGAAAACTTATTTATTAAGACGAAAGAAGGAAAGTGATTTTTCTTAATGTTGTAGCAAGAAAAATTATTATATTAATTCAAAGTTACATACATATTTATCTAAATGCACTTAGTTTTAAATGTAGGGTTGTGTATATCTGTGTATTATGTATTAATATAAGTTAAGTAAAAAGTATAAATTTATATAAGGGGAGACTTTGAGTTATTTTTATTTATTTATTTTTAAAAAAAAAACTCTTTAGTTTCTTTGGGTTTGTAGGTGGGTCAAAAATTATGCTATCTGATAAAAAATGATAATGCTCCAGAACTTAACTCACAATTTTTAAGGTTTCCTATGGATAAAAAGGAATGATCAAGATCATTTGCAAGACTGAGAAAGTTTTTTTCTTATCTTTCTTTCTAACCTTTTGCAAACATATTGAATTTTTTTTCTTTGATTTCTGTTGAAAACTCTTTGAATTAATATTTTTTGCATAGCAATGAATTGGTTTTAGAAGATTTTGCTTTATCCAAACTGTTTTACTAAAATAAGAAATAATTTTTCCTTTTTTCAGATCCTTTACCAAGAATAAAAGAAGATCATAAATACGCTAAAAAAGGCCTTGTTATACTTAAAGATTATAAGCCACAAAGACCATGGTCACAAAAAAATAAATATTTTGGACAGAATGATTATATAGGTGAGATTTTTATTGGTAAAATCATTCATTTGTCAAAATATTTTAAATTGTTTTTGTAAAACAGTATTAACAATTTAAAACAAACCAATTATTATTTTTTCTCAGGCATCAGTGATTGAGGTAAAGAGGTGTGTTTATGCCTTCTTGATTAGATGCCTTTAAAAATAATCTCTTGAATGGACAAATAAAGCATTATTTAAATAAAAAGACACACACATATGAAAAGATCAGTTGAACTTAGAAGCTCAAAAGGACTACAAAGTTTGCTCATTACAATTATGCTTTTAAAAAGATGGGTTAATGAAAACATCTTATATACTTACTAAATTATAAATAACATATTTACTTAATTTGGTTTTTATTTCTGCATAGTACAAAAGAGGTTAATTTGGTTTGAAGTGTTTTAGTGGGTAGTATGTTGGGCCCATGTCCAAGAGATCGTGAATTTGATCCCTGTCAGTCAAAGTAGTAAATGGTGAGCGGTGCACATTGAATCTGTCCGGGTTACAAAGATCTGTGGATGTATGTATGAATAGGTCCATCCTATAAACGGGCTATGATGTGTGTCTGACTGAAGTCATATTATTGGTCATAGACAGTGCCACTGAAAAACAATACCCTCTGCCTTAAATCTTGGGTTATCAAGCTGGTATTTGGCAAGAGGCATTAGAAACAACAACAGTGTTTTATTGTCTTTTCTGATAAGGCTTATTTCTCGAAGCCTGGATATCACAAAGGAATTCATTGACCCCCCCCCCCCAAAAAAACAAAAAAACATTTTTCCTGGAATAACTGAGCTGGAGAGGTGGAAATAAATAGAAGTTTTTTGATTCACAAAAAATATTGCTCACAGAAACTGAGGATTGTTTATTAAAAGCAGGCTATGCTCCAAAAGACATAACTTTACACTAACCAAGTATTTCCAATTTTTTTCATTAAAACCAGGTTCTCATTAAATCAGGTCTTGTTATAAGTTATTTTGACTGTATTTTACATTTATTTTATATGTAAGATCAAATTGAAATTATTCCAAGGTAAAAAGTGATTTCTAATTGGGATCTTTTCTCTCCAGTATTTCAACGTCTTAAAAACTTATGCTGTAAAACATTTTTAAAATCTTCCTAAAATATTTGTGTGAAATATTTACTTGTTAAAAAGTTTAATTTCATAGTAAAAAGAACAGAAATACATCTCTTACTGGTCACAAGTACTAGTAAAAAATAATAATCAGAATTTCTTACGCTGTTATCACTTGTATAAGCCTAAAAAAATACGTATGTGTAACCTTTATTTTTTTTCTTTCTAGATATTTTAGGAGATGGTAGCATTCATCCTGTAAAATTGCTTTCAAACATACCTCCCTGGCTCAGAGGTTTTCAAGGAAATGAGTTTCAAATGCTACTTTTGAAACAGAGAAGATTTACTCATTATAGATGGACATATCCTACAAAATGGAAAATGTTAAACAAAAGAATTATGTTTCTTTACAGGTATCTAAACAGAAAAACAAAAACTTAAAATCTTACTCAAACTCTACTGTCCATTTTCTGTTAGTTGTATTTTTTAAGCAATAAAAAACTTTAAAAAATTGTAATATTATTTGTGTTGGTTTTTGAAAATTTTATTTGAAAAGTTAAGAGTTTGTACGGTTAAAATTTGTTTTCATTAAATCTCTATCTATTTAGTGTATGTTTCAGAGATGATAATGCTGCGGAAAAAATCCGGATTTCAGGATTTTCACTAACCGCGATGCAGAAGTTTCCAGAAATCCAAGGTCCAGAAGTTTCAAAAAATCATCCATCACATTTATGTATATTATGTATTTTTTCTGGTAGTTGTTAATGTGTTTAAAGATAAAAGTGAACTTATACATAATTATTCATTTAAATTATGCTGCATATAATTTATTTAGAATTTCTTGTTTTTAAAATATCAATGATTTAAATATATAAAGACATTAATATTTTGAAATGCGCCATTAATGATTTTACTCAAGAAATTTTCAGGATTTTTTAGTTGGGCTCACAATCACCCCTGATGCTTATAGAACTTTCTGTAGATCAGTGGGCATTTTAATTGTGACCAAAGCCTCTCTGTCTATGCAACAATGTTTGAATATGACATTTGACGTAACATTTTTAATTCTCGCAGTAAGTCCTTTATTAATTCTGACCATATTTTTTGCTTCATCCTTGCTTATTCCTACACATCTTCACAGGTTCTTTCAGTTGATTGCTATCATCATTACTTGTTGTGGATACTAACCATATTCTATGTAAGGGATAAAAGTTATATTTTATAAGAATAATCAAAATAAGTAGAATTTAATTGAATTGTGAATAAATGAATTTTTTTTTCTTAAAATTTTTCAGTAAATTATTACAATTTTAAAAGGTATTTAACGCATTATTTTTTAAGAACACTGTCATTTTATAAAGAAGCTTTATTTAAGTTCTATTTCTTTATAAATTTATGATGATTTACACCATATAATAAGTGTAAGCGGTTAAAGAATATCGGAGGAAAAAGCAAGCTGTGAAGAAATTATTTTAGGGCAAAATAACTTATAGAAAATTTGAATATTTTCATGTTGTCTAATTTAGGCTGAATAACAAATGAAAATTGACAGGTGAATGTGCGAACTCTACGCATAGGTCGCATAAAGGATTCGGCAAAGATTCTGATATTGATTCAATAAGAACACAAGTTGTAGTGCTACTAAAGAAAAAATATAAATAGAGGAATGCAAGAAATATAATAAATTCACTGAAAACTTCAAAATTGAACACAAGTTGTAGTGCTACTAAAGAAAAAATATAAATAGGGTGACCTCAAATCTGCTAATTATTTAGTGCTAACGATATTTTAAGTTACAAAGTCAGACACAAAAACATACTTTATTTGAATAAAGACACTTTTTTAACATTCGGATTTCTGACCCTCAAAATAGTAGACGCAATATGGGATATATGGACCCTATGGATTGGTCAGGAGACCAATCCAAAGTTTGGACCCCTTAATGTTAATTTTATTTTTTGCGTACTTCGCAATATGATAACTTTTTTACCGAATTGAAAAATGTTTGCACGCAGTTACAAAATTCGTTTGCCTTCGTTGATAATTCCATACGAAATATAAACTTTAGTAAATATTTGTTATTTAATTTAATAATAATTCAAACATTTTCAATAGTAAGGTATAGATTTTTTACATCATTATAAAGTATGTAATTTTAAATGGCAAAATTTGTGCGGAATCGGTCGAATAATTCTTCAAAAATTGACTTTTAAACTCGATTTCTAAGGAACTGTCCAACCGATTTCGCTCAAATTTTGTTATTTAAAATTACATACTTTACAACAGTACAAAAAATGTATAGCTTTTTTGACTATGAAATAAAATTATAATAAATGTTTATTAAAACTTAGTTTTTGCGTGGAATTATCTTTGGAAAATTCAATTTATAATTGTGTAAAAAAAATTTAAATTCGCTGAAAAATGTCTCGAAATATGGTGAAATTCACCAAAAGAAAAATTAACATTAAGGGGTCCAAACTTTGAATCGCTCTCCTGACCAAAATATGGGGACCATTTTTCCCAGATTGTAGCTGCACCCCATATTTTGTGGGTTAGAAATTTGAATCCGTTAAAAAATTATATGTTTATTCAGGGAAACTACGTTTTTGTTTCTGATTTCGTAACTTAAAACATCATCAGCATTAATTAATTAGCATGTTTGAGGTTACCTCCTCGAGCCATTAGGATTGTGTCCTAGAACGTGAAGATCCGATCGTTAGATCGAAAGTTATTCAAGGTGGTCCATTTATTTTGACGCTGTGTACCATCACCTCCTACATCAAAAAGCCTCCACAAGGTATTTTATAAATAGTCCGCGCAGACGGTTTAAAAAGTGAACCAGTTGTGCGCATGAATCCAAAACCTTTTATAAAAGTAATTGAGAGAAATTTATCTTATATATTTGAGAATTGAATCTGTAGTGGTTGACAAGTGAATAAGGCAAACCATTAATTATTCGTAAATAAAATAAATTTTTAGTCATATATTTACTACCACTTTCTTATTTTAACTATATTCTGTATATCGAGCCGTTACTGCCTCGTACTCCTCCAAATTTCCCGTCCTCATTACTTCCAATGCCATTAGTTTCAGTCGCCCTAGGGCAGGGATGGCGAACCAATGGCACGCGACAGAATATTTTGGGCACTCCACCGATCACAATTGTTATTACATTATGAATTGTTATTACACAAATGTTATTACGCTATGAAGCATATGTAACAATTAAATTGAAATTCACAAAAAACAAACAAAATAATAAACAATTATTAATAAAAGAATTACAAATTAATACTAAAGAAACAATTAATAACAGTAAAAAACAAGCTAACAATAAATAACTAGCAAAAAAAAATCGACAGTCCTGCTTAAACTAACATCTTACAACCTAATATAAGTTATTGGTTATCTAATCTGCAACAATAGAAGTCACACTGATGTTACTTTAAGTTAAATTACACGTATAACTGAGACATGTATACAAGATGTTTTTTTTTTCAATGTAAATAAAGAGTTTTTAGTATTATTATTTTCCCAATAATCACGAAGTCAAAATTATTTGACGGCACGTCTATGATCTCATTAAGCAATTTTTTTTTGAGAAAATGGCACGTTGGTGTATAAAGGTTCGCCACCCCTGCCCTAGGGCATAACACAGATCAGAGGTCTAGTGCCCGCTTGCGCGGGCAGGTACCTTGCCAAAATTACATGATCCAGCAAGTGGATATCCTTCACAATGGTCTGATCGGACTACCTATGAAAAACCGTGTGGAGGCTTTCAGTTATAGGAGGCGGTGGTTACGTACATGGTGAATTGAAATTTCGGAATTGGTGTTGCTTCCGTGTCAAGCCTGTTATAAACTATGACTCGGGGTTAGTTTCCATCTTGAATTCCGTCGTAATATTTATAGCTCACTCGAACCCAACGCGAAACGCCCAGTTCCGAATCCCCGGTTTGGAAATATTGACCACGTCGAAAAGTGATTTCTTCATTATTTTTTTTACCGCATAATGGCACGTTTTGAATCTCGCTGTTAATTTACACTCCGGTGGTAGATTTATAGCCTTATTAACCGCGTTTTCATTTTTCGTGGCTTTTTTAAAACAATTTTATATGGAGGAAATTGATTGTATTGAGTGATTAAATTTGAATCACTCTTTTTTGCTGGACAAGGGAAAAATATGTTATTTTCAAACTTACTTTGGTAATCAAAGAGATCTTGAGTTTTATTGTGTATTTATAGTAATAAAACATACAATTAATCTTCCAATTGAACTCATAAGGCCCAACATAAACATAGAAATATTACTGAAGCTCAAATAGAATACTTTTATTTCAAACATTTAATTAATATTTTTATTATTTTACACAAAGATCAAGGGGCGATTATGTTATTGTCAGTCTTATTCTCATTTTAAACCTTTTTTTGAACATATCGATAACTTAAATCATTTTTTTTAAAAAAAAACCTTAATGGAATCGCTTGCATTGAATGAAATTCATAACTTAGATAACTGTAAATCATATTCGTATTATCCAGAGAAGTTATAATTCCTTTCATCTACCGATGATTTAATCACCACCAGGAATATGGAGAATATAATAATACAATATTCTTTTTTAAATCTAATGTAATATATAGGATATAATCTAAAAAAATACTCCCAAAAATTTTAAACTTATAAAAACAGCGTACATTAAAAAATTTAATTGTTTAAATAGTTGTAAAAGGAAATATATCACTTGTGAATGCATTTGATTTTTTAAAATAGCCAGGTTTAAAATAAAGAAAATGATAAATTTAAAAAACAAATATCATCAACTAGTTTTAAGTAATTAATCTACCCCAAATTATTCTATTTTTTTAAATGTTCAACGGATTATTTTATGATCATAAAATTCTAAATTTCTAGATTTGAGCATTAGAGCATTATGTTATTTAATACAGAATATCGTATAGTTTGAATGTTACTTCAGATCAAAATTTGATTACATACTATTTATTTCAGAATAATTTAAAATAAATGATTAATAGAGTAAATATTTTTTTTAAGTTTTTATGTTACTCATAGTTCTATTAATTTAAAATGCCATTCGTTATCTTCAAATCTAAATATTGCACATTATTTTGCCTGTTCATCTACATAAACTTAATTTATTGGGTGAGATCTATCATCTTACTAATTAATTTACATTAATCACTTAATGAATCATATTCTTCGTTTTTAAATTTTATATATACTTCAATCATCGATTATTTTACTTTATTTTTTATTTAAAAAATTTAATAAATAAAAGTTTGTTAAACTATTTAGACTTTTATTTTCTTAAAATTACATCTAGGCAAATTCATTTGAAAATTTTTTTATTGTGCTATTATGGTCACACTCTGTATTATCCGTGATTTTCTTTTCCGTCAGAAAAGTTATTTTATTTAAAATTACACGAATAAGTATCGGCTAAAAATTTGTTTAGCTACCAGTTTTATCTTTTTGCCCTGATTGATAACGTTTCAT